CACCAGGGAATTAGCGATAAAAGCGCCGGGAAAGAATCACTTAATGCCAATCTTAAATATAAATAGCCCGTTATCTAAAGAGGGCACTTTAATAAGGATGAGATTTGACTGTAAACATGCTTAAAAGTCGTTGCTAAATGTTTTAATATTACCAAGACACTTAACCACTTAGAATGAACAAGGAGGTGCTATATATTACTTCCTTAGAATAAACATGTTCATTGGAATCTGGCGTTAGGTCTGAATTGAGTGCGTAAATATCCCATATTTAAACAATACAGTTCTTTCATAAATCTTAATTTACTTTAAACTTGTATTTTTTAAAATAAGAAGTAGATTGTATGGAAATGGCATTCAAAAGTGCAATGGGCCCACAGACACATCACGAAGAGTGACTATAGTATTAATTAACGACGCATATTCTTTCTAAAACTAAAAAGAGGTGACTTGGAAGGAAATACTAGTATTGCAATGTGTATTTAACATATATGTAACCAAAACAGTGTTTATACAACGATGCCGATCATGTTCGCTTGCGCACAAAAAGGTCGCAATAAACTTGGTAAACAAAAGAAAAGTCTCCTGTACCTTTGACGAAAGATAAACCTATTTGAGATGATTTATAATGTCCTGTCACAAGCTAAACCAATGGAAACATTGTACAGTTCGACTAAATAAACCTACCCGATTTTTTATTCATTCATTCATTTCTGTTTTTTGTTTTTGTTTTTTTTTGTAAAAACATATACAGTATTGACCAGGGAATTTCACTGTTTCCTGGTATTGACATAGGCCTAGCAGTATATACTTTTTAAAAAATAAGAAACATTGAACGTTTTGCCCAAACTATTAAAGTGTTCTTATTTTTTGGCCAATTTTTAGGGTCAAAATATTCTTGTTTTGTTCTTAGACACTTTTCAAAGAAAATTATTACTGCAGAGCAGTATGCTACTGCACTGTATTATAGAGGGTATTACATAATAAGTTACACCTACTGCTGCTATTGTACGTGACTAGCTTGATTTGTTGATTTTTCATTTATTTTTTAATACCTTGGCCTAAATTTGTTCTTATTTTTTTTAGCAATCTCAGCCTCAGTGTTCTTATAAAATAGGCTTATGTTCTTATAAAAAAAAATTGTAAAAGCACTGAATTTCGTCAATTTACAAAATAACTACCAATGGGACCAGTTTAGTAGACCATTACGGTCTATTGTGGTACCCCGGTTCGACGTGAGTCGTAGGGTTAGAGTTAATGGAGTTTGCCCATCGATAGAAGGCAGTATATAGGCAATATTACGCTATGTATTCGATGGTCAATCAGCGGCCTTGTAATAGATACGTTTTACATCGAAAAACATTAAAATAATAATGGGCAAATTACTTTGACATTTTTTAATCAAAAACATTGTATTTGTCATTTGAGGGGAAATTGTTATGCATCGCGTGTCCTGTCATAGGCCTACCATACAAGGTTACTTTATGTCTCAAATCGGATGTTTAATAAAAGTCAGCACATGCATAATAACGCTTTTAGGAACATCTGTTCTACATTTATTATTATTGTTATTCAAATATTATTATTGGTAATAATATTATTATTAATAATTTTAGGAACATCTGTTCTACATTTATTATTATTGTTATTATTAATATTGGCAATAATATTGATAATGATAATAGTAATAATAATATTAATATTGGTAGTAATATTAATAATAATAATAATAATAATAATAATAATAATAACAAAATAATATTAATATTGCTAATTTCCTATTATTAACAGAAATACAGTATAGGGAATTAAAATATCACAGTGTATAAACGAGAGAAATATAATTAATAAGCCTACAAACTTACGACAATGGACAAAACACTAAATAGATGGGTCTAGATTTCAGATAGCTCTAATAATACAGCAGTCGACGCGTGTGACGTCATTGGGCATTCCGAAGGGACTGTAAGTTTCGAATCTGGTCACATTGCTTGTGTCCTCTGGGTAGCGTTGCCTAGCTCTTCACCCTGACACCCATGAGTATGTCGCTGGATACCCACGATGAGTATGCTATTTGATACCAGTGCAAGTATTATTATCTAGAATAAAGGATTTCTCTAGAGGTATCAATTGTAAGTGCGTATATAGGCTCACAAGTCTCATTTATGAAAAACACAACACGCACATTTCCCTGTTTAGTGTATAGGCCTATAGTAAGCCTACATATGGGGATAGGCCGAAGCCTACATATGGGGAAGGGAGTAAACTATTTCATGATATTGAGTGAACGTTGTGTGAGCCGGGTGAACTCAAATAATTTGGGAAATTGAATTACTACGCGTGCTTTTCTCGTGGCCTGCAAATGACACATCATTTGTAAACACAGTATGGTACGGTATACATTTCATGAAGCTTTTCATCAACCTTTTTTCTGTGAATGCAAATAGAAATGCGGTTACCATAACAATTTGGTATACAGTAACAGTATGGCAGATGTTTCCATGGTGATGGGTGTCTTATGTGATTTTGTTTTTGACAAGTATGCCGACAACGGTAAGGTCAGTAACATAGTATTATTATCATCGGAATCTTATTTTTTTCACATGTGCGTATGCCGGGGGTAATAATAGTATTATTATCACTAGTTGTTTGAGTTAACTCCTCCTTTCTTAACAGTGGCGACTGTTTCTCTGCAACAATATCTCTAACCTAATTTACTTCACCCCCTTACTCACTAAAGACGACGATTACATGATTCAAATTTTAGTCCTTTTCAGGTTCTTGTGCTTGAGATTTTACAGATACATTTTTGGTCAATAAACGGCTACAGATCATTCGGCCATGGAATTCCCTTGTAAAAGAGAAGTACCTTTTTATTTATACAAATGTTAAATTATAGGCCTTATTATAGTGTTTTGCATATATATTATTTTTTTTATTACGGTACTTTTTACATTAGGCTTTCTGCCTATAGTGTTTGTTTATTTCGCATAGGGCAATTACATTCCACACCTTAACCCACTCAATACAATTATATTAAATTATCATTATCAACAATACGCACAGAGATGCTGCATTTCTAGAATACTAAGATCATTTTCCTTTGAATAATGGCCGGACATCACGGTAGAGCAGTGTCGGATTCAAGAGGGCGGGGGACGGGCCGACCCGCATCCCTTTCCCTCAACAGCGATGGCGCCAGAAATTTGCCGGCAAGGGTCCAACCAAATGGCCGACAAAGCCTCGGCCGACTGCCCGGAATATAAACTTCCTTGTAAGGTTCACAGGAGAGTTCTTATGGATTAGTATAGTACAAAATGTGCTTTTAGACCACAATATTATTGAATGGCAGTTAAAATAACATTATTTGGATAGGCAAATTATTAGGCCTATTATTATTTTTATTTTTTATCCGACGACCTAGTCATGCGTCAGCCAGGGCTGTCTGACGGAGGGGAAAATTCTCTCTTCTTCCCGCTGGCGCCACCACTGCCCCTAAATTTATAAAAAATACTTTACAAAGTGGAGAAAAAATTAAATTATAATCAAATTTAAGTCTGAGAGAACCATTTCCGGCCCTCTAGATGTGCCACAATCATAAACTTCCTTTCCTGCTTATCCCAAACATGGTTGGCCCAAGGTGGGAGGAACCCTCTATCTGTTGTCTCTTCTGAGCCCCTCTATTTTGAATTCCTGGATCCGCCACTGCTTACAGAATGTGCTGCTGAGCCAAAGTTCAGCAAATGAAAGGTACCGGTACGTGATCTTTGTTAAAAAAAAAAAAAAGAAAGAAAAAGAAAAGGAAAGAAAAGAAAGAAAGAAAAAAAAAATGCCCCAGTCAAATGTTCACAGGGGTCAACTGTAGTGGTCTTCTAGAAAAAACAATAATAAAACAACAAATGCCTTAGTAATCACAAGTTTGATGAATTTAGCCTTTAGAAGAAGAATCCGGTGGGTGTTAGTTTATTTAAACTGCACGATCAGCCAAAATACAATCGAGACTGACAAGAAAGTATAATACAATGTATCTTTATGTTTGGGGAAGTTTGTTGATTTAGCTCTAGGCCTACTCTTATTTAAAATAAGTCGATGAACGTTAGTTTCTTTCGTTCACCTCATTTTCTTCAGACTCTAAAGATCAGAGGTCAATCATGTAAAGGGAAGTAATATTTGGAGCATTAATGAAAATGTACCGTAGACCTTATCAACAAATACAGCTTTCATAATTTACTTTTCATGTTATTTACTGTAGCTCATAGGCGCTAGAGGCATTCAACAATGATGTGTAAATCATTGAAACAGCAATAAGCTTCTCTGAACATGTTCACCCACCTCTAGCCTACAATATAAATGGCTAATTAACATCTCATGAGTCTTCCCTGTCAATTGAGGACTAAATAATAGAGGACTTCATAAATAATAGGCCTAGGCATAGGTCCTAAATGTTAAACACAGTATACTATAGGTCTAGGTCTATCTTTGATTACACCATTTAGTACAGTACCGTGTGTTTCGGCCTTCATAAATAGGCTTAGGCCTATACTTACAATATGCCCTACATGTGAAACACAGTATTTATACTATAGGCCTAGATCTATATTTTAGTTCAACCATGTAGTACACAGTACGTGTGTTTCGGGACTTCACCGTTTTTGTGTATGACTTTTTGGTTCCAAAATTAGGAATAGACTATTAAAAAAAAGAAATCATTTACTAAAAGTTTTGCTAATTAAATACTCAGTGGACCGATATTTTGTTACTACAACACCATGAGATAAGATATAATATTCGACAAAGCAACAAAAGTCAGCGTAGGAAGTCGGAAACAACGAAGCAGGCGATATACAAAGATTGTCTATCAAACTCATCAAGCGCCTGTCACCTTTTAGTTGAAGGCGTGACGTTTTCCGAGGATCGCATGTGATTGGCTGATCAAGTTGGTTACACGAACACTCTGAGTATGTAGATCGTTTCCTTCCTTGATTGTATCCATCCACTCCTGGGGATTCATAACCGTCTTCAACTCCCCGGGTCCTCGCCTCTACAACTATCGGCTCATGCTGGGTTTCTACTTCAGTTTGATTCAAACTTTAGTCCGCTTGGCAGTATCTTTCTCTCAGTGTATTTATATTTTTGTTAAACATCCGTTTTAGTCTTTTCTGGGCATACCACCGGCTAGCTTTAGCTTGGATTACCATATTTATTCCCTGAACTTGTCGACGTGGTACTCTGGTTCCTTTAGGAAATAAACTTGTGTGATGGAAAATCAAATCGGCATTTCTATCGGAAACGCATGATATCATCGAGAGATCAACACAGACAGAGACAGGTTGTCGGCGACGATCCAAAAATACGAAGCTGCTATTTTATTTTTCCGATTGTAAGAACACAATGAAGTTGTGATATTGTGAAGCCTGTGCATTTATTTTATGATGGATTATACAGAATGAACATCTTTGTTACAAGAATCAGGTAAGAAGGAGGTAAAGTAGCCAAGTATTATATAGGCATGTCAATCTACAACTACTGAACATGAGACAAGTGGAAATCGGGACACGACGCGAGACCGGTGCTCGTGAGGTGTAAACACGATAATAAATACGTGTGCTAATTACTGTTCTGGGTATTCTTTAATCAATACAGCAGGATGAAGATACCAGTTAACAGCACAAACAGATTTGCACGTTTTATTTTGTTACTATCTGCTTGGTGTAATCCCAGTAATTGGTAGCGACATTTCTTATCTTATAATTTCCTCCATACATCATATATGAGTATATATCGCCTGTTGCTAAACTGTCAGTCGGTGTCCTCAGTAATATATTGCCTAGCCTTCATTTGATTTTATTAAGCCTACTTATTTACGCCGCATTACTGTTTGTTGAAAATTTACGACGTGGACAATTAATGTGTATTTTTAATTCTTATCTGCATTTTGAGGTTTCGTTCGATCTTTCTAACCGAAACCAAGATTCAATTACAATCAACAGGTCTGAACTTCGTAATCCGAGAACATATTTCGACCTACTGTGTTTAACTCCACATGGCGTAATCGTAATGTTCCATCTCTCAACCGTGCAAACTTTCAAAAGTATTGTAATGATTAATAGTGGTTTCACTTTGTTTTGAAAGTGTATGATACATTCTGTCGTCTTTTGATCCTCTCCTGCATGAATAAAATGGTACCATCACCATTCCGAAATACTGTAACGTTAATTTTAGGCATTAGTGTGGTAAGGTATAAGTTATCTATGATTTCAGATCGTGCGAGTATTTTTAACTGTTGAGGATCAGAAAATTGGTCTACGGTGAACATTAAAAATGAGATACATTTCAATCATGTAGTGATAAGGATATCAGATATAGAGAAAAACACGTGGACGATTGTGCCGTTTTGGAATTTTGCCCAGTTGTGTTTTGAAAGCAGACACAACACACAAGGCCCCAGATGTGATAAACCCACTCGCCTAACACGATTATTACAGTATTCCCAAGTGACATACGCCACAAGGACCATGCTAATCCTGAAGAGGTGCTACTGACTTCAATTAAACGTTACCTCGACTGTCTGATGAGATCTCTCAGAGGCCTGAAGTGCGACAACAAGTGGTGCAACCATGGTGCAACATTGACACCGCTATATAGCTACTTACCTGAATTACGACTCCTAATAAAAAAAAAAAAAAAAAAAAAAAAAAAAAAAAAAAAAAAAAAAACCTTTGAAATAAATTAACCATGACATATTCGAATGTTTGTTATATGAAGAGTTAAATAAGTTACGATGATGCATGTTGGTACGTAGAAAACACTATATCTTACAAATGTGAAACCTGTTGACGAAGTACAAATATGTATTAATTATTTTGTTGAAGTAAAGTTCAGGTTCCTGTGTCGTGAGAGAATTTATTTTGTAATTCTATTCGTGAATTATACTTGCAACGTGAAAGTGTCGCAAATGTAGGCCTACCAATTTGGTTTGTTACGGGCTTAAAACACTAGAAATTGAATTGTCGTATATGGACCTATAATTTGCGTCACGTCAACTACTGCTTGCATATTTATCAACCGTTTCTAAAACTCTAAAGGCCATAACTAAAACTTAAATTTAATGAGTCTATTTGAAAAGTGGAAAGAGGAGTGATCCTCCCTGGTAGGTAGGCCTATCGTGTATTTAGTATTGCAGAAGAGGTAGAAGTGGGGTTGTATTGACTGGTAAACGATGTGTAAATGAGATGCATAGTTAAACGTAAACAAATGTCTGCTGTAAAACCACATAACCTACAAAGAGGTCAAACAAACCCAACACACACACAGACACACCTGGGCCAGTATATCACCTACTAATCCAACGGGTCTGGTAGCAGCTGGCTCGACTGAAACACAAACCTGTCGCAAAAAGCAGAAGAAAAATTATGGCAAAGGATACGATTTCAGAGGTCGCGACCGCATAAAATCACATTGATTGGTGAAAGACGGGTATTCGTTTTGAGCGCTTGTCAAATGTCATTGTCAAAAACGATGAAATTGAAAGAGTAGGCCTATAGTTGTTTCGAATAAAACATCGTTTTTAACTTAATAAACGTGAACCCGGTATTATTTGACATGAATGAAAAGAATTCATATATTGTTCATAATACTATAAATCAAATATACTGTTTGCGACAAACTATGGCTTCTTAGCATCACGTATATAGAGACGTGGTGAAAGTTTGTTTCAATACAAGTATTTTATTAGTAAAATATGCAGAAAGTGCTGTAGGCTCCTATGACAAAGCCAGACCGTAACTTCATTCATAATACAGCACTGTATTTTTATTTTCTGCTTGGTGTGGACCTGCTTAGTGGTTAAGATGATTACCTTGCAGTCCCAAGTTCATGCCGTGGGTTTAAGTTCTTGGAATACCATGATTTTTGTCTTACGAGACAGATCATGTGTCTATTTTATTTTTATCGAGGTTTTTTTTTTTTTTTTTGTTTTTTTGTACAACACAAGTCTATTCATACCCATGTACGTACTACTTCTGTATGACCTTATTTGGTATTAGAATTGATATAAAAACAGATGGCTATGAAGACGCTGTGGTGAAACACATAGGCCTATTAATAAATATTGAACTAATGTAGTAGAAATTACACTCTTAAAACACCGTACACTAAAGCTATAATCGCTGAGTAAATTACGGCAAAACAATAGGACAAAATTGAGGCTGAGGTCAAATAAAACATTTTGAACCCGAAAGTTACAAAGAGCCTGGGCAAAATATGCTGGTTTAGGCAATCCTGTTCATAGTTTGGCCTTGGTCGCTTGAATCTAGAGATAAACAGAAGTGTTACGTGATCAGGACGAGTCAGAGTAAATAGGAGCGGCGACTTGTACATTAGTAGTGAAAAAGTTTTATCATTTTCTCACGAATTAAGTTGACTTCATAATTACTAAATCGAGACTCAATTTGAAGGTAATGGTGAACAAATACATGAGCCTATTTCCATACGTTAGAAATTTACTGCATTTGCAGTGTTGATAACCTAATTTTTAAATAATGCCGTAATAATGTAAAAGTAAATTTAGTAAATCATAATTTAAAATAGGCCCTATATATGTTCTTAAATAGAGGAAGTTACAGTGCTCTAAAAATTAATGTAATGATATTGTCATACAGAAATCACACAGTAAAGGCCTGTTTATACTTCAACGATAACGATAAGAAAGCTAAAAAGCGCTTAATGGGAAGAGAAGTTTTTACACAAGGACGATTCGATAACGATTTATCGTGTATACGATAACAAAATATTTTAACAAATCAAATCAGATGACGTCATAATCATGGAAAAACGATAAAATCGTTGCTACTACTACCACGTTAGGCTAATTATATAAAACGTCTTTTTACAGTGTCAAACGTTATTACGATATACAGTAATAAAGAATTAGAATTTAATAAAAACATAAAAAGTTCTGAGTTCTTCGTTGATAAGAAACCTGAAAATAAGCCAAATACCTATGGAAATTCGAATGAGGAGGAAGGAAGTTATATCGCCTTTTACAATGAGAGAAAGTGCAGTACTGTACTGTGTAAAATGTACATTGTTAAAGGAAGATTTTTTGGTGCATTGGATAACGATTGTGTAATAAAATCAGCTTATATTAAATGATCGTGTTAGTCATTGATCGTGTAGACTACATGTTCAAATAACCAAAATAGACCCATACTTTCATTGCAACACGTATGATATCACGAAGGGAACAATCTACTACCGTAGTATAATTTGTATGTTATATTACTAATAATTTTGCATACACTTTTGAATGTACATTTTGCATGCATGGTTTATAAATTTTATTTAGATTTATTTACTACTTGACCTATCAGTCTTCAACAAGGTAATGTTTTGTTATTTTTATGATGGAAGTGGACAATATTTAGTATGACTGTATTTCCTTCAAAACTGTGTACAGTATTTTAGATTACAGGAATCTAACATCCGTTAAAGCTTTTCCATAAACAAATTATTCATAGATTAACCACAATGCCTAAATTTACTCCTTCCTACACTTTCCGCAAGTATCTGGATCACTCCCGATTGTATTTCGGTAGTCGTTTGCGATGAACCAGTAAACAGACTGATACCAAAAATTCAAGGATTCTGTCTGATTTTGTTGGTATAGTATTCAAGGGCCGTGTATCAGGGATGAGGCCTAGAAGTTTAAAGTAGAGGATGTGCTATAGTCGTGGTTTCGCGAAATTTCGGCATGTTAAAAGGATAAATGAAGATGTTTGCTGAATATTCAAATTCGCTAAGGAAATACGCAAGACAAACTGTTAAAAGTGGACAGCTTGAGGTTCCAAGAACGGATGTTTGAAGTAGACCGACTTACGCTAATTTAATGAGTTAATTAAGGCAGAAGAATGACACCATTGAATCATCATTGGCCATTATCAAGAAGTAGTCCTGATGTAGGCCTGGTCATCTCCTCGAATTTGATAATTTCATACTAAGTCCCATACTATATCAGTGACTAGCAGTATTTTCTTCCTAGCGTGTACTGCGCCAATATTTGGTCAATTCGGCACATTATACAAAGATCTAAATGAATGGTTAAGCATTGAAGATTACCAATAAGATAGAAGCATATTTCTATTATGGAGGACCAATCAGAATGTTCTGTTAGAAAAATTATGTTTTTGGATCTAAAGGATGTATGATTTTATAATTTACTTCTAAAATTTTTAACTGATGTTTATTACAGATTGTATCATTTGGAGTAGTTATCTCTTAGAAACACAAGTTTAAAACCAATATTTGAGGAAGAGCACATCCTTCCAAATGTCTACAGACAGACTCGATTCAAAGTGTTTGAGGTGCTAAGATAATATGTCTTGACTTTACTGTCAGTTCGTCTCTCTTAAATGCTATCCCAAGAGAATACTATTCAAAATATGGCTCGTGTCTAATTATTATTTTCCGATTAA